ATTGTTTTCCATGATTTGGCAGGGTAAGCCGTCATGGTGGTTTTCACTTGCACAGTACACAATCCAACGTCTCTAAGCATCGCCCGAACATCTTCGTGTTGGGGTCTATATTGAGGATCTGCAATCCTGACCCCTGATCCGGCTGCACCTCCTTGTCTCTTCTTAGGCATTTCGATCTTGCTGGGGTCTTTTGAAAGTGCGGGGCAGTCAGTGTCCCCAATTCGATCCGCCTTCGTCTTCTCTGGTGTTTCAAATCTGACCCTACTGGAAATCCGCTCAACCGCCCTGCCTGTCAAAGCTCCTGTCTTAGCTGAACCGCGTTTGGGTTGCTGGTCTTCTGAAAATAGTCTGCTTGTCTTCTTGACACCGCTGGTATTACTGGTCTCTCAGCGGCCTCGTCGCTCTCTTCGTTATTGAACCTCGTGTCTCCGCTTTCTGTTCTTAAGTCTCTTCCAAGTGAGTCAGTGCATTAACACAAGTGCTTGCGCAAGTTCTCGTATTCAAGAGCACATTTAAACAAAGTTGCCATCAAATCGATTGTGAGAGAGCACGATCCGGTTCTGTGAGATATAGGTGGAAATGGTTGCGGCAAATTACGCTCATAGATCAGACTCGCATTCGCATTTTCCCTGGCCAAAGATGTGTACTGGCGTGCTGGTCTAGCTTGACCATATATGACCGTCACTGACTGGCCTCTTCAAATACCGCGGACAAATGTGGTCAAACTTCTGGTTCTGGTATTGAGCATGTTCATCTAGATCAAACTGCAGTTGACGTAAAGATTTGAGTAGCACTCGAGCTCAGAACTCGATAGGGCTTAAGGTGCGCTGAAACGATGGTCTATTTGACCATTGTCTTGCTCTGCGCCCTGCGTGGCCTTGCTCTGTGCCCTGAGTGGCCTCTCGAGATTGTTACAAGTCCAACTCAATGACAGGCTCAGCCTGCGAACAACCATCCAATCTGGTTGAAGACCACGCCTTTTGTCAGATCTCAAGCTCTCCTTCTTTCTTTGGCCGGGCAGGCATGCAATCGGGCGTCCTTTAGCCTTACCTTGCGGAAGTCGGGACTGTCTGTGTCAAAAGAGAAGCGTCCTGGCGACAAGTAGAACCGTGTACGGCGAAAGCCGAAGTTATGAAGGTGCGCTGCATCCACTTCGAACTCGGAGTTGGCATTGAAGTGCAAGTCAACAGCCTTGCGCCCCGTAGCTTCGTCAACATCATGTTTCCACAAAACCGAGGCAAAGATGACGGCAAAAGAGTGACGGGAATGGACCCCTTTGTCAACATAGGTTTGCGTGGCTGACGCCTTGCCTCTACTTTCGGACGCCACAATTGCTGGTGTTTATTTGCCTTACTCGTCCGCCTTTTCGCCGTCAAGCTTCATTTCAGTCGAGTGTTGGTTTTTCGGACACGTTCGTGAGCCGCCTTGCGTCTGGACCCCGGTTATTGAGGGGATGGAAAGTCGGTGTGGCTTTGCAAAGCGGGTTCTCGTGCTCGCTTCTCGGCTGGAAGAACGTGCCGAACTGAATCGAGGCAAGGATGACACCAGGACGTGACTTGGTATGCTAAAAAGCTCGCCAAGAAGTGCTTTTGTACACATCAAGAGCCCTCCCAAGGCAAACCTGCCATCTCTTCAGTATCTTTTGAACTAGACTATGCCCCCAGTCCTGTGCGTTTATTGTTTCACGGTTATGATAGAACATGAATCCAGTTTTTTTGTCTGACTGAAGCCACCATCTTTTGAGCGCGGAGTTATACAACAGTCATAACCCCATCACTTTCGTTGTAAAGGAGCTTGCGCCTTAGTTTTACACCTGGATGCGTTTCATTATACAACAGTCATAACCCCATCACCTTCGTTGTAAAGGAGCTTGCGTTTTAATTTTACACCTGGACGCGTTTCAGTTCTCGCAGATTTATCATCGACCCCTTTTTCCCCCTCTGAACTAAGAGACGAGCTTTCTTCTCAAGTATGTGAAGACTTGGTCTGCTCTGAAGTTTCCTCCGTCCGCTTTGGATGTCATTCCCTTCGATCAGGCTGCTTATAGATATCAATAGATGCGTCTGCTCGTTCTTTAGCTCAAGAGGTCTGTTCAGGAAGGGAGAGGAAACATCAAAAGGCGATGATTCTGCCCAGCATCGGCCGCTTTGGTCAAGCCAAAACTCCGTTGACGCCTTGCTGTTCGTCAATTACCTATTTGCAAACGGGTTGTTGGAATCGACGACCCAAAGTTTTTGCGGTGCGTAGGCCCACATTTTAGGAAGGGGTTAATCCTACTAGTTAGCGGTGACAAATTGCACTTGTAAGGCAGCATGGCGGGGCTGCCGCAGGGTACCTTCAGCGGCAGTTCTGTGGCAGTTGCATGCCTTGTATTGCGCAGAACCTACGGATTTGACGGGTAAAGCTTTGAGTCTTTGTCATTGTGACTTTGTCTCCGATGTGAAAAGTCATAGGCAAGCTTCCCTGCGCCCTCATGTGTGTCGTGTTTTGAATCGTCATCATTAGCCAAGTCCCGAGTCAAACTACGAAGATTGTCTGGTCCAAGTTCAGGATTACGAAGGCAGTCTTCAAAGTTCTGGGATTAGCAGCGTAGTGCAAGAATCAGCGGCCTTACTGAGGCCTCGTGGCTGGGTCAGATTGTCACAGAAGGACTAGTATGTGTCTTTAGAAATCGGTTTCCCAGAGGCTCCTTAACCCCGTACTCGCAAAGCTGAAGGGCGGTGACTTGTCGTAAGCCCCAGCTTGGCATCTTGCGCAAAGATCGACATCGCCGGCTTCTGAGTCCCTCATTTCTATTTCTAATGCTTGTGAGCGACAACCACAGCGCTGAGGTTGCAGCGCATGTTTCTCTTGGCTTAGGATCAATGTTTACCCTCTTTATATTGGTACTTAGAAATTGACTTTTTGTCGGCCTATCGTAGCGTCGCCTTTGCTCAGTCCCATGTTCACATCGTCTCAATTCACATCTTAAAACGCAGTGTTTGAAAAGGTGCGGTTCGGAACTTCCCCACTTATTACTGTGCTATGCAATCGGTCCTTCCAATTACTATGGTAGGCCGCGATCCAGAAGATCTGTTTGATGAGCACTGCTGAGGGGGCGACGATGATGCAGAAGGTCATGAGGTCCAACCCCTCAATGTTATCCCGACGCCATGCAACACGGATGCTTTCTCTATTGAGTAGGATGCTGCCCTTCCGGAGTAGAATTGTGCCTATTCTTTCCTTGCTGCTAAACAGCAGGGTTTCGTTCTCGTCGAGTGCTGATTCGTTGACCGTTTGGAAACACAGCAACAGTTGGCCTCTAACTTGGTCAGAAACCTCGAGGTCATCGTGGCTGCGGAAGTGGCGTCTTGTGTTTACTTCTCAAATAGCAAAACGTGCCGAGGTGAAATGAGGCAAATATAACTTTATGATGTGGCTTGATGTGCTAAAGAGCTCGCCAGGAGTACGGTGCTGCGGTGTCGAGCGTTTCCACGCTATACGTGCCATCCGCTCGTTCTTTTTTTCGGACGGTGCCCTGAGTCCTGTCCAACCGTCCGAGGTTCTAAACCCAAGTTTACCTCGACGTTTCCTTTCGAAGCGGGGAGCTATACTTGAGTTCAGAACCGTAGGGTTATTCGCGCCAAAGCTTGGCATCATACAGCCCCATCTCTAGTTGCCAAAACTAAGGTCTTAGCTTCTTTCATTCCGGTAGACGAGCTCTGTCCAACTTCAAGGTTGAATCACAGCATCGGCTTTGAAGGTTCCTTCGCTTTTCTTTGACCCCTTTCCGTCCAAAGGCCTCTTTCGAAAACTTCGCTTTTGTAGGCTCGGCTTCCTTGGACTCGAATGCTGTCCCAGCTCACCAGTTAGTGGTGAGGGGGACGAAAGGCGATGATCACTTCAGACGTCAAAACCGGCAGTACGCGCTATAGTCAGGACGATCCCTGGGTGACGCCACATCCTTGCAGATGCATTTCAGGCGTTTAGCGAGCGTCTTTCTTCCAAAATACCGACCTCTCTTACTTCATCGCCTGCTTCGTATTGCTGATTGGCTGCTACATCCTTGGGTTTTGTATCAAGCTCGTTGCTTGGGTGTGACACTCAAAAGCCAGTAACTAGCCGAAGGAGACAACTAACTCTAAAGGACCATGCATTTCTTGTGTGACATTGGCTGCCAGGCGCCTCACATTCTTGGGCATGTGTTTGCGTTTGTCCCCATCTGCTTGGTGCTGCTTGCCGCTATATCCGCCGTGGTACATGCATAGTTGCTTACGTTTGCTGTTTGGGCACTGCCCCTTTTCCTCAGCGTATTCCATGTTCGTTTAGTAAGCTTTTTGATAAGGCCAACACACGAGAAAAGGCAGTACTCCCTGCATTTTAAATCTTCCCAGGCCTGACTCTTACCGTTGTCCAATTTCCCGTGTGATACGAATCACAATTGGTTGCACAGCTTGCAAGACAGGAATACTCCCGGCGGTTGTCATTGACGCGAAAAGGGCTTGTCGAAAAGGCACTACGACTGTCTCGTAGTTCCAAACCTCTCTTGCCTGTACCTCAAGTTTTACTAACCGCTTTCAAAGTCATCCTGCTTTCTGCCCTGCTTTCTGGCCCCGCTTTTTGGACAGGACCTTCATTAGAATGCTCGTCTCAAAAATGGAAACCCTTCCGGATGTAAGGGGTCTACACAGACGATAGTGGGTTGCCTTGCTTCATGGGCGTCCTTCGAGAAAGGTTATTTGAATGAGCTCACAGCAGGCTGCCTAAACCTGCTTTTCGGGTACGCGATTTCAGAACTCAGCTTGAGCTACGGCGGCCCCAAGAGTACTCAACGAGAGTTTTGAAGCTTTGGTTCCTTTCACAATCATCGAACGTGTCGCCCTAAATCAGTGCCGGGCTTCCTTCGTTTTATGTGAGGTCTCGCGGTACTTTTCACTGCAACGTGTGCTATACCCCAAATGTCCCGATGTTGACGGGAAGTGTTGACCGGCAAAACTGCCGAGGTGTTCTTATTCTCTAGGATGGGGTATGCGTTTCCAGAAGACGCGCTCGTATACGAGTGCCTTTCTAGCGCTGTCACTGCAGAAGGCGGTGATCAGTACCCGAGGCCCTGGCTTCATATTCTTTGCCAGAGATGGGCCCAATTCAAAGTGTTGCGTGAAGCCCTCTCGTGGAACAACTTGCTCTATGCTGCCGTCCGCACAAGCCGAAGGCGCCTTGCTCTCGAGTGGTAGGGTCATCGTCTGTTTGAACTGCCTAGCCTATCATGCACTATCTCCGGAGAAGTGTGCTCGTGCGTACACGAATCCTCCACGCTTTTGGCGACTTCTTCACTGAGGCGTTCGCTGTCGTTTCCAGAACGGCCGCGAGGTGAATCTCTCGACTGCTCATCGGGCTTACGATGGAACCTGAGCAACCAATGTAAGGACGGCAACAAAGTGTTCTTATCAAAGGGCACGCTCCTGCCGAGCGACTCTTTTACTTCCTATCGTCAAATACTTTTTGATAGTCAATCCGCTCTTGATATTTCCATATTTTTCAGGCCCCTGTGCTTGTGCCGATTAGAATGACAAGCCAATATCTGAGGTACCCAGCTTGTTGAAGTCTCCACCTTTCTCCGCCACATTGACGCGCCCTTATCGTCCAAGGGAATGTTCCTTGTGTTTCTTGGTGAACCGTACTGAGAGAAGTTGCAATGACCTTTTGGACTGGGTCGCCTGGCCTGACCTTAAGCTTGAGCTTGAGCTTGAGCTTGAGCGTGGCTAGATGTAGAACTTGGAGTGTCCAATTGGGCTAACCTTGCAAGGCTGAGGCGTTTTGAACTTGGAGCAAGGGGCCCAAGTTTAGAGCGAGCTTCCTTGCCTTCAGATTTGTCACGGACCATTGATCACTATAGAAGCGATGCTCCCAAGCTCAAGACAACCTCGGCGGAAGAAGAATAGCAAGCCCATCACTTCCTTTGATACTGCGTTGCGGAGCAGTATCTGACTAATCGTTCCGTTCGTCTTGCATTTGCTAGGTGGGCAGCTTGTCACGGTCATCGCCGGTGGTGATGACGTAATCCAAACGGTTCCGTACTGGACGGACACGCCACGGGAGCCAGCTTCATGCCGCGAGCAGCTTCCGAAGGTGGGCTTTCAGAGCAAGCATTGCATTCTGTGGTTTTGACGCACAGCCGGTTCCTAAGCCTCCTGGGGAAATCTTGACGAATCTGGTAGTCAACAAATTCCATTTCAGGTTAGACAAGTCTTTTTTTTGTTCGAAATCGCAGTGGACACAACCTAATGACAATGCAGATCCTGTGGCACATGAACCACCGTCGACATGTTGGTCACGGAGTTGGTACCGCAGTGCTGAAGGACAAGTTTGTAACACAGCCAGGGGAACGTTTGCGGCTTTGGAAGCAGGCAGAAGGCGCGTCGGCTCTTTGCTTCATCTTGTTTGCGTGTCTCCTTTCAAATTGGCCGAAACTGCACTCTCGTTGCAGTCGCTTGGGAGGGTTGAACCTTTCTAACGTACCTATCATGTCCATCTTTTGCTTGATCCTCGCGCCGACTTTGTGCGGAGTCGCCTTCTTTAGATCGACAAAAGCCGAAAAGATTGCACACAATCTCCTGTTTGTCCGGTGATCATATTGACTTGATTCTTCCTGCGCCGCGTTTGCAGCAGTATGCTGAAGGTGAGAGGAGTCAAAGAGGTGCGACTTGGCCGTCGCTGGAAGGCCGCTGCAATCCGGCCGGATGCAAGTACCATATACCATGAGACTTGGAGTAATGGCATGAAGACCTGGCATCGAACGTACGTCCCTTTGAAACATACGTAGAGATCTATTGAATCCTTGCTCCGCTCATTCACACTGTTAACATAGACGACAGGTTTCCTGTTAAGCCTGGTTCTTGTGGCTGGACGTTTCGTGCTTTCGCATCTGTGGATGTCCCCCGTTCAAACTTCTCGGAATCGCGATCTTTCTGCAAGGGGCCCAAAGATTTTCTTCAAGGCAATCAGCACATTTGCTGAACACCAGGCCAATGGAAGTTGTTGCTCTGACCTGGGGGTCAGTTCAGTTCTCTTCTCTTTGGAGGCATGTGGTACGTTTGATCGCGCCATTTGATATCGCCAGATTGGAAATCATGTGTCGCCACCCCTGGAATCGTCTGCTGTATTGAATCCCCCGACCAGGATCTGGTGATGCATCTGATAACGTAATCTAGCTTCGACTACCCACTAAAGGCGGAAAGCAGAAGTTTTCTCTATATGCGTGCAGAACTCTAGGTCTGCTCGGTCGGCCAGCTTTCTCTTAACCAGTCCGCCACTTGCTGGCTGGATGAAAAGTGATGGAGCTTTGCTTCTTCTTTAACTTGTTCCGACAAGAAGGGAGTTGCCACGATGTGTTGAAAAAAGGAAGCGGTCAGATCACCGTTGCTGCCTTGGTAACACTCGCTAATTATCGTTTCCTTTCTCCTTTTCGGCATCAGCTTTGTGGCACATGAATGGAGCAGATTCCGCGTAAGAAAGATGAACGTCCTGTTGCATCCGTTGCTCTGCTATCCCTGATGGTGGCGACTTTCCAAGACGCGCTCAGCATGAGTGGTCGAGTCCGTTCCGTTCTAGCTTCACGGACCTGCTATGTTCTTGAGGCATACTTTGAGTCTGAGGCTGCTTCTTGTCAAGCCCTCGGCAGGTAGTTGACTCCCAAGTCGTTCTAGAGGTTTGGGTTCTCGGGTGTTCACCATAAGTCGAGCACGTTATTGCTCGCCTGACGATTGTTTCCTCGATTCATCTTTGCATACAGTGGCAGTTGTTTCTTTTCTCGGCGGGCGCTTTCACTGCATGCAGTACCGCCTTTTTTTTTCTGAACTGGACTCGTTGCTTCGAGTCGGATCTACAGCTATGTAGGTTTGCCCGGTTTGAAAACCTCGGTTCTATTGGGCTTGGAGGGTTCAGCTGAGCTGAGTCCAGGTTTCCGATAGTGGAGCCGGTTAAGGATTACGTACTCCTATCTGCGAAATCTGTCCATCAAGCTAAAGCGGTTTGCAAGTTAAGCAGTTCGCAAATTTGCCGCGAACAAACTTTTAGTATTGCCCTGACGGTGATTTGTTTTCAATGTATAGATCCAAGTATGTATCTGGGCCACTTGACCAGTAATTGTGGTGCACAGGTAGAACTTGAACTTCTGCAATAAGCTAGTCCCGTAAGTCAGATGACGGTTGAGCACTGGACCTGCCAGTGTCCATGCAACCATAGTTTCTGAGCCTCTGTCCGTTTGCCCGACCGTCCGGAGCTGTCCGTAAACGGTTGTTACCGGTTTCTCAAGTCATTGTACTGGTTTCAAGCTGCCTTTCACATACTAATACCGGTCGTTTCTGAAGAGAGCCAACGGACCGGTACGCTTCCCTATCTGAGGTCCAAACTTATTACTTTGGATGACATGACGACATCTACTGCAAGCCGAGTCCGACCGGCCGGATCCGAAGTTCTCAGGTCCGCAATTCAGCAGTGGTATACCGTGGACACATGGTTGTACATACGAAACTACATTAAAATCATCTGTCTAGACCATGTACACAAGATGGTAGGGTAAAAGTCAGCTGAAGAGCTCGCCAAGTCGCTCAAGTGACATCGTGCCTTATCTCCCTTCTCACTTTCCATAAAAAAGTTGGGACGTATCACGTTTCAACAGTCTGATTTCCTAATCTGCGCCACAGCTGGAAACATCTCCTACGCAAAACTGAGCTGCTTTTCATTTTGACTCCTCCCTTTTGGTCCACGTATCAAACTCACCATGGCGGCGCTTCGTGGGTCTGCGGTCTTACTGGCCCTTCTTAGCTGCCTGCTCATTGTTCCCCAGCTGGCGGAGGCGCAGTCCCAAACCATCACCGTCAGCAAGACTAAGAAGAAGGGCCTCTTCTACGTGTTTGCAGACGGCCAGGTGAGTCAGCACAGATTGGAAGTCGTACTCAGAGTCAATCTCGGTCATTGGTTGATTCTGGATGCAATGCTAGCGACGAGGACGAGCTTGTTTATTGCGGTGGAAGTCCATGGTATCGCTCTTATTAGGACTTTATCACCTGAAGGGTCACCACTGATTAGTTCATTCTGGGTGACTGCTGGTCAAAGTCTTGAGCCCGTTGAAAAGCTAGGGGGCGGTCATGATGGGTCAGCTCTTTTGACTTCTGCAGGCTTGCTTTGGCCTCTGCAATCGAGCACTCTTGGAAGTGGTGTGTTGTTTCGCTTATTTTCTAGGTCTAGTTCATTGTCTTTTTAACTCTTACTGTGGCTAGCATGATCGTTCTGTACGATATCATTCCTGGAAGGACAGGATCAGATTCCAAAATCTGTTGACTGACATCCACCTACCACTCTGCTCTCAACGTGCGCTAAGTCAAATGGCCAATCTTTCATGAATCTCGGTAGAAAGTAACAAAAAGTCTAGCAACCCTCTCTTTCCTGGTGTGAGGGCATCAAGGCAGCAGTGGCATCCAGGGTTGAGTGCATCTTCTAATATTGAGAACTTCTGATTGAAGCTGGAGTACCGTGTGCTCGCTCTTTTCCAGTGGTAGACTGGACTGCAATGGACACTGGTAGTCAGAGTCGGTAGTTTGATGGCAAGGCCGGAGTCATTAAATGCGTGTGCCCTGACCACGGATGTCTAGAGCCCCATAAAACAAGATTTGCACATGCTTGGGAAGGGGCACTTGACTAGCATAATAAAATTGAGCTGACTGGCGCCCAAGATTCCATCAATGTGACTGCGGTCTAGTTGTTCCCAGTGACAGACTGTTACTAAACCCATCGCCTACTGTGAGCAAAACCAGTTGCTGTGATTATTGACGCCGGCTGTCAACTCTCAACGGTTTCCACAAACCGCAGGTTGTGTCTTCAGTCTCCAGATAATGGCAACGGTTGAAGCAGGGTCACTCTTAACCCACACCTTTGGACCCCCCGCCCCCTGGACCAAAGGAAGTGACTATTTGTGACTCTCTCTTCACACTACAGGGTTGTTTTTCAAACCCTCCAGATTATGGCAGCATTTGGAGCGGGGTCACTTCTAACCCAGCTTGGGTCACCACTAACCTACACGTTTGCCCCCCCACAGATCCTGGTTATGGATGCCGTTACGGGCGTCATAGTAAAAGGTGTTGCCAACCCACTCAGTTGCAGAACAATGAATATTACTTTCCCCTGCAGACCACATGAGTGTTTCTTTAACCCTCAGGTTATGGCAGGGTCACTTCTTACCCACCCTTTTGCCACTCCACAGACCCTGGTGATCGACGCCAGTGCGGGCGCCATAGTCAAGACCATTGCCATCCGACGGTTGCAGACACTTTGACATTTCACTGTCCCTACAAACTACACGAGTGTTTTCTTAAACCCCCAGGTTATGGGCCAGGGTCACTTCTGACCCACCCTTTTGCCCCCCCTGCAGATCCTGGTTATTGACGCAGTCGCGGGCGCCATCGTCAAGACCATTGCCAACCCCACCGTTCCCTTCCCCAACAATTGCACGGGGACGCCAATGGCGGGTTCGTGGGGGGACTCGGTTTTCGCAAACAACCACATGTTTTCGGCGTCGTACTACAGAAACGCAACCATCGGTCCTGACGACGGCATTTATGTCATCAACACCCAAACCCAGACTCTGGTGCAGCGAGTTCCCTCTGCAACGCGGCCCGTTCACGTTTTCTACGTGCCATACTTGGTGAGTGGGTGTGCATGATTTTGTTTAGCTCTTGCTTGCTGAAGGGGTTTTGTGTGGCATCCAAGTCAGGTCAGATTGGGTTTCGTTCACCAAAGGCCTGGAAAGCTGGGTTCAACCGATTTGGAATAGGTTGCGCTTGATTGAGGGAGCTACACCGGATTGACGTTTTTTTCTGGACCTACGAGGGCCTGTTGAGGGACGTGGAAGGCTGGAGGCATCTGGGCTTGAATAGGATAAAGCACGTTCTTTTACAAGGGCCCTTCACAGTTGGTGAAGGAGTCCTCACTCAAGAAACCTCCTTTGTATCTGCTTTTAAGCACAGGTTCTGCCGTGGCATTCGATTGATTGACTGCAAATGCTTTGGGCAGAGTGTAAACAGAGAGAGCTTTGTTATCTGAAGCTGTGATATTGATCCAGTTCTTACTTGTAGCTGGGTCTACTTGGGATTCATTTCGCTCAGTTGGTCCATGTTTATCGGTATTGACCAGTTGCAAATGTTGAACCCCCTTCCCTAGACAGTACACCCGTCACCTTGTCTTACGAGACAATTGTCCTGGGAAAGGCGACTCTTACAAGCATGCCTTCCTCTGCTGAAAGAACTTTTTGCGCTTCAAATCTTTCTTGGACCTCCTGTCATTCTGAGAATATTTTGTTGATTGACCTAATCAGACCCGTCATACCTACCACGCAAAAGAAGCCGTGCTCAGGCAGAAATCAGACACTCTCTGAACGTACCTGGTAACCCGGTGCTTCCATTTCGAAGATAGGTCAACTTCGCATAGACAATCTTCACCTTGAGCTTTTAAAGGTGCCCCACATCCATGATCTCAATACTCTTTCTATCCATTTCTCGCAATCGTCGTCATCTCTTTGTAAAGCCCTTCCAACATGGGAAAAAGTAGCATCATGTATGCTGTTCTTGATTCCCGTCTCACTTGTAAACAACTTCTTGCCTTTGCCCAACGAAGCTGAAGTCCAGGAAACTACAACTCTAGGCCAGCAACGTCAAACCATCCGCTTCCAGCCCTGCTCTGGAATTGACACTCACGTTAACGTCATGCTGACATGTGTCCAGGACGAGGTGTGGAGCCACTCCGACGGCACTGCCAACTTTGACGTCATTGATGCGCGCAACTACTCCGCGGTGCACGAGGACGTCATTGCTCACGTCAACATCAGCGGCCATGGGAAGCTCGTTTTCAACGCTGGTACGCTTATCTCCTCCGAAGTGATGCTGCGTGCGCTATCTAGCTGACTGAGTTCTTTCCTTTGTTAAGAGGTTCTGAATCTCTTCTGTTTTCCGTGCTCTACCTTCGCGCCCTAACGCCCCCTCACATTCACTGTCTTATCCTTGACCTAATTTGCAACTTTCCCCCCAGCCTCTGCAATCTTACCAGGTCCACTGAGATTACTGAAGCTTTCAAGAGTCCGTTTTCTTAATGGTCCCAACTTGTTTGAGCCCATCTTTGTATGTGTTTAAATGCTTCAGGGGGTGTTCCCGCTGCCCGACAGCCATTGTAGCACTGCCACTTTTAGTTGACTTTGAAAACGAAAACCTCGTTTTGCTTTTGGCTTGTCATGTTCAATCGTCGCATCTTACTCCCGGGCCTCGTTCCGGCTTGATTCCGATGCAAGCTCCCTCAGACCGGACTTCTGTACCCATCTCTTCTTCGTGGAAAGCCACTATCCTGACTGAGCCGTTTCACACCTCCCTACAGCCCTCGACAGCAAGGCCTATGCCTCGAATGTGAACGAGCCCCGTCGTTCCTTCGCGAAGAAACTCCTGTCCTGACAGAGCCGTTTTGATTATTCCCCGAGCGCCCTACGCTCCTTTGTGGATCTAGGTAAAGGCTGAGCCGACTGAGCATTTTTCACAGCTTTCAACAGCTCTCGAGAGCAAGGCCTACGCTTGGAATGTGAACGAGCCCACGGTGCTAATTCGTAAGGAAGATTCTGACCTGACAGAGCCGGTTCACAACTTCCAACCCTGACGCATATGCTACGCTTTTAAACGAATTGCCGACGCTTCTTTGCGAAAAATCTCTGACCTTACGGAGCCGTTTCACACCTCCCTACAGCCCTCGACAGCAAGGCCTGCGCTTCGAATGTGAACGAGCCCCCGTCGCTTCGTTGCGGGAGAAAACCCTTTCCTGACAGAGCCGTTTTAGCCCCCTACGCTAGTTCATGGAAACCGCTGAGCCGACTGAGCATTTTCACACCTCCCTACAGCCCTCGACAGCAAGGCCCACGCTTCCAATGTGAACGAGCCTGGGGCGTTCATTCTGGACCTCGAGACCAAGGCCTCCAATGGTCAGCTCAGCTTCGTCAACTTCACCGGGCAGCCGATTTCGGGCGGCCGAGTTACAATCTGCCCGGGGACTCACTCGCTGGCTTACTCTAAGGTGAATAACTTAATTTCTTTACCCCCTCTCTTCATCAATCTCCCCCCCTCGTGGTTTTAATGGATCTCTTTGAAAAATTTTGCGGGCTGAGTTGAAGTGGATTGGCAAACCAACGATTGGTGCCCGGAACGAAACGATATCCTTAAGTACTTATTTTCGGAACCTAGTAACCCGACGCTGATCAAAATATTTCGTTTCTGACTATCTCGGCTGGTTTGGATCAGGAATTTGGCTCCCCAAAGGCCGAGAGCTCCGTCGCAGTTTTTACGGCGTGTGTCTTATCTCCAAAAAAAGAAAATGCAAAATGTCCGGTATATTTCTAGGCTGACACCCAGGGCAGTCTACCGGTTTTTTCTTCCCAACTTCAGACGCCCACAGATTTCTACATCTGCACCTTAGGGGCCGTGATTGACTACTTCTTGTCAAGGTTAACTCCGGCGTGCTCGGGCATCCAACGCAATCATGTCAATTGAAAGCCAAACCAGGTCGCCTTTGTATCAGATCTGCTTAACAGGTGCAGTCCAACCGTGTTGCCTACTTGGTGCAATTTCGTTAGGAGAGCCCAGAAACTCGTCTTCGCTCGTTTAAGCCCTTTCATACAAAGAACGGTCCGCTTAACCCGGCGCTTGATCAGGTCGGACATCTAATGCATCAGTCGTGTCTTGAGAATCTTAACCAGGTCGGTTGGAAGTGCGGGTCAACCGGCACGCGTATTTTGAGTGCCCTTCCGCCGGGGATCCCCCAAACTCGTCCGATTAATGTTCTGCGTTAACCTTCCTTTCAGGAAGTTCGATTAACCCGCCCTTAACCAGGTCAAACTCCAACCCTTTGATCAGGCCTTGAGAAACCAATCAGGTTGGTTAAATGTGCAGGTCAACCGGCACGCCTACTTTGAGTGCACTTCCGTCAGGGACCCCACAAACTCGTCCAACATTCTGCTATACCCGGGGGTTGTCGAGATCGATACCGACGACGACACCGTCGTGAACCAGCTGCCCTTCACTGTGAGATCCGGAACGCCCTCCTGATCTAGTTGTTGGATGGGCATTGAACTTGTGACGCCGGTTCAACCCCCGTTCTGGTTCATCTGAGCGCGACAAATTCGTGACGCCTGCCAGAAGTTGGGTCAAACAAGCTTACGTCGCAGGTTCGTCCGGTGTCAGCGTCCGTCTAAATGTGTTCTCGACATGTTTCGTATATGTCGGTTGACACTGTTGTCCTGCCTTCACAAGACCCTGACTAAGAGGTCCTCTCCGGTAGATCACTGGTCCCAATATCAGAGCACGGTCTGCCGAATCGATTTGAGGAACTGACCTTGAACCAACTCAGTAGATTTTGCAGACCCGATATATGAAGGTATCCTCCTGCCTCTTCTTGACGCGACTCTGCTCAAGCATACCTGGCCTTTCCTTTCACGTTGCCTCCCGGCAAGAACCATCTCGTTCGATTGGCCTTGCTTTTCATGCTCGAATTCTAATAGACTTGCTCAATTCATTCTTCCCAAAACTCAAGCTTTCTGTGGATTGATCCGCTCCCACCTAACCGGACCACCTACATCATAGCACCAGTACATACCTTTCTCATGCGCCGAGGCCAAGTTCTGACGCCTCCTGACTTCGTTGTAGTGCACCCGCTTTCTGATGCTGACTCCTGACTTGCATTCAAGTCGAGACTCGTTCTCTTCTTGTCCTTGCCGAATTAGGCTCGTCTAACCTTATGCTTCCAGAGTCCTCTTATCACGTGAGCATCTCTTGCAAAGTTCAAACCCTGTTCGATTCCATCCCAAGGCCATCTCGCCCGAGGAGCGGTTGCTGACCGTTTCAGAATTCCCCTTCGGACGTAAGTATCTCTTCGAGGCTCACCTTAAAAGCCCATAACCCAAAAACGTGAAACCCTAACCCCAAATCCTGCTGTTTCACAGGGTCATTTGGCGACCACGCCCGACGAGCAATTTCTGACCATCGTGAATGGCCGGGAGCGGTCCGTCAGAATCATCGAAATCACGCCCATCGGACAGCCGGACCTCTACTTCACCATCCCCCTGAATGAAACCCCGGGGGCCACCCCGGCCTTTTACCCCATGGTAAGACTTCCCCCAGTGGTTCAGCAAGCTTCAAAGGGGACAGGAAATTAACGTGCTTTCGACGCAAATGATTCCAAACAGGAATTAGGAGATCAGAGAGATTAGAGTTTGACGCAAAAAATTCTGAAAGTGCTTCAAAGAGCTCGGTTTTTCCCGTTTGCGCCCCATTTACCCCATGGTAAGGCTTCCCGCGGTTGTTCTAGCAGCTTACAGGAAGAAATGGGGGGTGACTCAAAAAGTACTTGAAGGAGCTCCATTTTTTCCTCTCCGCACGAATCCGCCAGCACACCTGTCCAATATCAAAAAGTGCCGCCACGCGTGCCTGAAAGATACATTGAACGTCCATTTGTCTCTCCGTTTTAAGTACCTGTATTCCGCCTTCCCTGTTGGAAAGCTTTTCTTGCTTTGGCTGGTCGCTTGGGGCCGGTTCCAGGACGCTCTCACTGAGACTGACATTGTCCAACGAGATGCAACTCGTCTTGCCGTCACCCTTTTAACTTTTTCGTCCCAGGTCTGCTTACTCTGGGCGGGTGAATAACTGAACCCTCGCGCGCTCACCTTAACCGTCCCTGACCATGAAAACTCTATGTTGTGAAAAAACTCCGCCCTAACCCTCGCTAAACCCTTTTTCCTTCCTCAGAGCGACCACTACGTCATGGCTGTCCCCATGCTTAACACCAACAAAATGGCCATCATCGACTTTGGGCTCGTCCTTAGGTGCGGCGCCAACTGCACTGACCCGGGGCAAACCGTCAAGTACGTCGATGTGGGTTACCAAAACCCGCCCGGCAGACCCGGCGCCCTAACCACCTCGCGTAGCGTCGATGCCGGTCACACCTTCATCTGCACTCCAGCCATTTACGACCAGGGGATTGGTTGCTATAACCCGATCAACGACACCTCGATCTTCATTGGGGGCGCCGCTAATCCCATCCGTAACCCCGCCCGGGTTTACTTTGCTCCGGGAGCTCTGGCCGGCGCACCAGAGAACGTGAATGCGTTGTTTAATTGCGCGGATGCCGCGACTACGCGAGGAAACTACCCGACGCTTGCGCCGGTGGTCAACCAGACCTTGATCAAGAGCGCTGCGCCGTAGGATAACCCAGTTCTGTAAGAAACTGTTGGAGGGTATTGAGAAGTTGGCGTTCGGTTGAGCAGACTGAACTTTTCAGACTTGCCAGATTGAACAATTCAGGCCCGTCGCGATGTTCTTTCGGGACGCTGATTGGTAGTAGACATCATGATCGTCGGGAAGCAGAGTTGCACGGACCTTTGACTAATGCGAACCAGTGGCAACAACTCAAAGAACAAAGAAGCGGCTCCAAGCCCCTTTGCCTTGCGTGTTTTCTTGAAATTGTGTGACTTGTCACCAGCTATAACGAAGGATGCTTAGTACAATCTAGAAAGCCGACGGTCCGATCAATGTTACCATGTTGGGGACAAGGCGAGGATGAGCCTCTAGACTCGCTGATGAGATCTCATCAGGAGGGGATCCGACTTTCGTGAGAGGCTGATGCCGGACCAAATGCGTCAGTAAGATAGCTGATCGTTGGACAAAACGCGACAGATTCTACTGCTTAAGTTCAGCCCCATGGATCTGGCATGGCTGCTCTTCTTTCAAGTTTCTGAAAGCGTGCTTCCTTTTCTTGCATAACGTACGCCTTGTTTCTCGTAATCCTAAAGCTATATTGGACAATGTGACAATGCAATCTTTACTTTCTTCAAAGAAAATTTTGGCCGCCTTGGCTTTGCTTCGGTACTTCATGCAAACTCAGCGCTAAGCCAGCCGGCCGGGAGCAAGAGCTCGAGCAAAGCAAATACGGACGGCGGATAGCCAAGTTCGGTAGTTTGAGCCGCAATAATTCGTCAGGGCAGTGCATCGAATTGAGCACGCAATGTCGTATTACGGTAGGACCCAGTCGGGTTGATAAATCTTAATGATTGGTTGATTTCTTTTAAGTCGACTGGAGTGAATTTGTGAGGAATTGCGCGGGGTTGACCATTGTATCGATCAAAGATAGTCTACTAGTAGCTGGGATCTCCGTGGAAGCGTTTTCTCGAGGTCAACTGTATGTTCCGCTTCTCAACGAAGAATATTCTCACCACATCGACAACCGCATACGGATCTGAGATGATAGGCGCATCTCGGACCATTAGTCTGCTGAAACCAATCAGAAGGAAGTCGGATAGGAAGGCCTGCAGTGTGTCTATCGACATTGGCCTGAATTTCATGGCCATCAGGACTGAACAGAATATTGGACTACATTCTTAATTATGTGGTCAGTCACGGTCAGACTCCCTGGAGCTCAAAGTCTTCAATAATAGTCATACAAGTACACCTTAATGCATTTCCAGTTCTGAGCGCGGGGCCTTCCTGCCAGACCCTATTTCACGGTTTCCTGCTTGGCACGCTTGCATCAGCTCTCACGGCGTTGAGATCCTTGGATACATGTATTCGCACTCGCTCCGCCTTTTCGGTCACCCACCGGCATGCGCGGCTGATTTGCGTGTCCAAACGAACTGGGCTGGAAGAACGTGATGCTTTGCGAGAGAATGAGGGTTTCGACCCAATTGTCCGAATAATCCGTTTCAAACATATCTCAGCAGAATTCTTAAAAGTCAGTTTGAATAAAATTTGAGTACGGAATACGTCATCATTTCCTACTAAGGAGCACAGGTATGCATGCGTTCTCTCAAAGTTCCGAGTGCACCCGGAAACCTTTCAGGCGCATAAGGTAATCATATTCAAGGGCGCCCTTCAAACCTTTAGTTGGGCAAGGCCCATACTTAAATCAACTTTGAATTGGATATTACTCGTTCAAATTCCCCTGAATATCTTGCAGCGAGGTACACTTCCGGATCGATGTTACAGGATTTGATCCCGTGCGTCTCCTCTCAAAACGTGATTCTATTCATTTGACTGAGTCCTGCCGTCATATACAATTTTGTTTGCTTCAATGCCTTTTCCTGACGACTTAATGAAATACTGCTCTGGAACCGTTCAAAATCAGAGGCTTCCAATCAACCGCTCAACGTGCTTCCCTGTCAAGCCGAAACGACAGCCCCGGAGTGTATTCTACGAATTCAACACTCCCAGATTCATTGAACTCACGCCTCGGTAGAGAGGTGGTTACACTCACTGAAAACCAAGCAAGCTGCTAGATCATCGAGCAAGATCCAGCGAGTCGACAGTATATGGTGAGTCCCTATAAATGTAAAGGTTTCCTGAACCATATTTCTGCGATCCGCACACTGTCCAATTCCAGAACCAGCCGTAAGCGTTTTCTTACAAGCAAAGACCTCCAAGGAGAACAAGCCTGTGTCAACCACAAGTCGTCTGAATGTCTCTCAAGTACCACGGCCAGCCGCCTCAAAGTGCCCCGCAATCTCATCTTTCTGTTTGCTAGCAGAAATAAAGGGCTTCGGGTATGAGAAGTTTGAAGCCGTCTCAGATTCGTGTCCAATCTTCCACCATATCTCCCATGGATTGAAGGATGCATATGCTAAAGGCCTCCCTTGCAAATGAACCAAGACTAAAGCACTTCCTGTAACATGTGGCTCCGGTTCGGAAGCCGAAACCGAATCCGCTTGGGTGATTTGGAACGACTTTGAATTCTGGGTTTGTTCAATTCCCTGCTTCGCGTGTTTGTCGTGATCTCTCTCTGATGGAGTCTGCTGATCAGATGTCTCGCGCTGAGTCAAACTTGTAGCACGCGCTGCCAGCAAGCGCTTGTACCCTCCTAAGGCTTCTATTTCTGCTTCAAAAGCTTTATACTCCTCCCCACAAAAGTCGCAATTAACACTGAGGGAGACAGAAACGCCTTCCTCCAGAGATCAGGAGCGTTTTCTGCAGCAGATTCGAGTGCTTTGCAGGCGAAGGTGGCCCGCAGCAAAGCGAGAGGGTCTTGCTTGGCAAGTTTGCAGAGAATGACCAACAGGATGTCTCTCGGAAGCTCTTGTAGCGGCCCCATGCCATGCGCCCCATGCCATGCGCTTTGTTCAGAGTAGCAAAACAGCTAAAGCAACTTCAAAAAGCCCTCATATGCATGTCGTCTACAGATCAACACCTTAAACCTCAGCTCGTTGAAACTGCGCAGCTCAGAACGCGCTTAGTTGTTCAGCCTACTCAAAGAGTGTAGCGGTCCGGTCAGTCCGCTAGCTCCGCACGCGGCCGCGCAAGCGGCGCAACGTTTGCACAGCGGCCGACGGTGGCGCGCGGGCGGCGCGCGGGCGCGTACGTAGCACGTGTACCAGGCCAGGTTCAACTGAAGGAAAGTCACCGAGTGCAGCTACCTAGAACGTGCGCTCAGCAGAGGCTAGTACTAGACGAGGCCTGTATTGTTTGTTCATTTCTTCAAGGAAAGCGCCAGCCACTATGGGCCCTTTGCAAGAGCTTCCAAGGGACGTCCTTCTCATCATCTTCCATAAGCTTGCTGAGCAAGACATTGTCGCCTTACTTCGGGCCACTTTCGCTTGCAAAGCGCTCCTCGACACCGCTGCGGAGTCTGCTCCCGATTTGTGGAAAAAGACGTTCCGGTTTCCTTCAGTGTCAAGCGAATTTTGGGGTTCAGAGGATTTCCAGGGCTTTGAAAGCGAAGTGGAAGCCTTGGGAGGGTACAAGCGACTGCTGGCGGCACGCGCTGCGAGCTTGCGGAATCTTGAGACGGCAACGTTTTGCAGCGAACAAGCCCGGCAAAGAGAACAAAGCCAAACTTTGGGTTTAGTTGCCACTTCTCCTGAGTCCGAGTCGGCGTCAACTGCTCCTGGTGTTGCATTGGTTTTGGTTCGTATACAAGGTAGGCATGTAGCTTATCAGGTTTTCAACTCATGGAAGCGTGCCTATCGCTTGCATTTGAGACCGTTAGTCCCATTACTCCGGATTAGGGATGAAATGACCGGGCAATGGCGGTTGGCAGGTGATACGTGGGAAGAGTTTCACCAGCTCGCGCTTGACACCAATCTTATATCACTGGAGCTCTTTATGTTTAAGAAAGAGCTTAGTACAACCAATTGTGTTGAGGGTGAGCGTGCATCTGTAAAAGGGATGGTGTACGGGATCTTTACTCCCGTGCCTGATGGAGAATTCGGCCTGTCGATTTACCGATTGTCCTTAAACCCTGAAACATTCACTTGGTTCGCTGCTACTCTGACAGGCAGTATACAGCGGCGCGCAATATCTGGGGACTTGTGGGCACGTAAGGATCAGGACACGCAGCCCACTTTTGTCTTTTAGCCTCGATATAGGAGCAGACTGGAAAATTAATTGGGAACATTCTGTCCTCCAACAGCTGCTCCAGTAGGTTTTATTTTGAGCAAAGACATTGAGTGTGAGGTCGCAGAAGATGGCATCGAAGTACACGAGAAAGACGAAATTTCGAAGGAAGATTTATGAGTGAGGCTGGTATTGGACAAAGTCAACCTGCTCATCTGGTACGGAACAAGAAAAATAGTTCCAGCAGGTTATTCTGTTTCCATTCCGACAAGTGCCCCGGTATGCATGACGAATCGGCGCTAGCTGACCATGGAAGTGAAGCTCGTGAGCAGATTTTAAGTATCTTAGCAGCCCACATGGAATTTAAAGCATTGGATGGACCATTGAAGTTCATTCACGTCCATGAGAATCTTGGAGACCGATGCTGATGAAAGCATGACGTTCAGATCTCTTCAATTGGAAGCGTGAGGTACAGGCGTCTACTGCATCCGATGTGTTTATCACGACAGCATAGCTAGAGGGTCTCGAACCCACATTTGTTGCGCCAACTTGAATCGGCACTGTGTGCTTTTTGATTAATACCGAACAGGCTTTTCCCAACGTACCGTTTCTTTACTTCAAAATCTTTTTCATCAAATGCGATCTGCTCTCAATGCTGAAATCAGTCAGAATGGCGGTGATCGAAACGTGTTTTGGATACGAATTGTTTGATCGGGATGAGGTCTTCGTGAATCGTATCAGGCCCTTGAGAGATCTAGAAGAATCTCAGCTGGCATGGGGGCGGCTGTAAAACCTGGCCTTTCGTCCTGGTCGTAAAAGCGGGGTTAGAGATCCTACAAAAGTGCGTTTTGCTGCTACCTGAAGCGACTTTATTGGGATCTTCCGCCCGACGTACGTGTCTATGCAGACAGATCCGGCGCCGCTGGGGCGTCCGCCGCGGCGGCCGCGCGCCTGTAAAAGCGAAAAGAGCCGCTCGCGGCTTCCTTCAAGCGCGGCCGCGAAGATTGGCCGACGGCTGCGCTGGCTGCATGACGTAGCACCAGTACTAGTGTGCACTTTGGACAGGTTGAATTATTTTCTACTTGTACCCAGCTTGTTCACTACCTTAAGGAAAGCGCAAGCCATGGGCCCGTTGCAAGAGCTTCCCAGAGACGTCCTTCTCATCATTCTCCACAAGCTTGCTGAGCAAGACACTGTCTCCTTACTAAGAGCCACCTTCGCCTGCAAAGCACTGCTCGAGACCGCTGCGGAATCGTCTCCCAAATTGTGGAAAAAGGCGTTCCTGTTCCCTTCAGTGACAAGCCACTTATTGGGTTCAGAGGAGTTCGAGGGCTTTGAAAGCGAAGTGGAAGCTTTGGGAGGGTACAAGAGACTGCTGGCGGCGCGCGCTGCGAGCTTGACGCATTTTGAGACGGCAAAACTCCGCACACCAGAAAGAGAGACTC